ACACACCATACCGAGTCAGACGTGGCGGGGAGGTCACACGACAGCGGGTCAGATGCGGCGGGGAGGTCACACACGACAGCGGGTCAGATGTGGCGGGGAGGTCACGTACGACAGCGGGTCAGATGTGGCAGGGAGGTCACACGCCATAGCGGGTCAGATGCGGCGGGGAGGTCACACACGACAGCGGGTCAGATGTGGCGGGGAGGTCACGTACGACAGCGGGTCAGATGTGGCGGGGAGGTCACACGCCATAGCGGGTCAGATGTGGCGGGGAGGTCACATACGACAGCGAGTCGGACGTGGCGGGGAGGTCACACACGACAGCGGGTCAGACGTGGCGGGGAGGTCACACACGACAGCGGGTCAGACGTGGCAGGGAGGTCACGCACGACAGCGGGTCAGATGTGGCGGGGAGGTCACACACGACAGCGGGTCAGATGTGGCGGGGAGGTCACACACGACAGCGGGTCAAACGAACTGGACATGGGTCAGAGAAGACCACGAAAGTCAGACCGGCCGCAATACCGTGGCAAACAGCACAGAAAAGCCACTTCGAATAGCTCGCAGACTGAGCTACACGTACCAAAGTTTACTCGCAAACACTTTAACAGGCATATGACAGGAATCGAGCAGAAAAGTAGAGGCCGTTAGCTGCGGTCGGCCGGTGCTCGCCAGCCCCGGACCGCACCCGCCGCCGCTCACGTCACGCCCTCCGGCCGTGCGCTCACCGTAGACCACGTGCTCGGCCAGGGCGTTGACGGCCGAGCGCTGCTGCGGGTCGACCACGTCCAGGCCGTACAGCGAGCTGGCGGAGGTGCGCGACTCTGGCGAGGAGGAGAGTGGCGCGCCGTCTCCGGCCGGCGGCGGCGGCGGCGCCGAGCAGCGCGCCGTCGACAGGAACTCCTGCCAAATGCGTCACGAGGGTCACACCCGAACGCCGTTACGGCACCGGGCGCCCCCACCGAAGCAAGCGCCACACCTGCACGCCACCACGGCACCGGGCGTCCCCACCGAAGCAAGCGTCACACCCGCACGCCACCACAACACCGGGCGTCCCCACCGGCGCGCGCCGAGGCCACCCCGAGACCGGCTGAGAATCCGATCCGAGGACAGACAGGAGCACCCCACCTCAACGACGGCCACATACCGGTCTCACACGTTACTCCACTATTTAGGGACTCATCCATGCTATCTGCGCCACACAAGAGCCTGACAGTACGACGGCACGCGCGCGATCATGCACAACACACATATTCGCCATAAGAGCTGTGAAAGCTCCCCGCATCCCACCGCGCTCCAGCCCCGCAGACCGAGCGCCAACCTGTGGCGTCGGCGTCGCCGGCCTGCCACCCAGTCAGCCTGGCCGACAGCTGCCGGCCGGCCGGGCGACTGACCGACAGTTTGAAGGGCTGCGCCAGGTCGAGCCGCACGGCGCCGTGCCGGCCGCGCAGCACGGCCCAGATGGCCGACAGCGCGGCGCCCAGCGTCTCGGCCTGCTTGGGCCGGCCCAGCTGCTCGCTGATGAAGTTGCCGTCGACGATGCGCTCGTAGCTGATGCCGACGGGCACCACCAGCGCGTCGTCGATGCGCTGCTCGTGGAAGGCGTGCACCACGACGCTGAGCAGGCCGGCTGCAGGCGGGGCGAGGTCAGCGGGGTCAGCGGGCTGGGCGACGTCAGAGGGCTGCTGGGCGAAGTCAGCAGGGTCAGGGGACTGGGCGAGGTCAGCGGGCGGGGCGAGGTCAGCAGGGTCAGGGGACTGGGCGAGGTCAGCGGGCGGGGCGACGTCAGCGGGCTCGGGGGGCTGGGCAAGGTCAGCGGGCGGAGCGAGGTCGACGGGCGGGGCGCGGTCAGCGGAGTCGGGGGCTGGGCGAGGTCAGCGGGCGGGGCGAGGTCAGCAGGGTCAGGGGCTGGGCGACGTCAGCGGGCGGGCGGGGCGCTGGCCCGGGGCGGCGCCCAGTGGCGACGACCGACCCACCGGCTGCAGTACCGGCACAGCTCCAGACACGGACCGGGGAGGGGATCACCTGTCCACGGACCGGCGGCAGCCAGAGACGAAAGTGCGTAATACAGTCACCGGGCAGCAGCCAGGGGACACAACTGTCAAACGGCACGCAAACTGCGACCACGGGCAAGCGATACATGACGCATGAGGATGACAGCCAAGCACCACGGGCAACGCGCGTGTGTGTGTACCTGTGATATATGAGACATGTGTGAGTGTAATAAGCACATGAGCATACGTGTAAGCATGCCATATGCATGTCATGCATTATAACCTTATATACATATTAACAACATATGACGACAATACACTAACATACTATTCAAAATATATTTGGGCATAGGAAGACGAGGGCATAATCATACCAATATGGATCAGTGGTAACTGGCGGTTTCGCAGTACGCGAATAAACCATCCAGCGCCGGTCCCATCGATCTGCCCGGTACGACTCTGGACGGCCCGGTAATCATATGCCACAAAGCTGCATACATCTGGCATGTTGGGAGCAACAGCCGACCTTTCGGGCGCTTGGGTCGGCCGTTTCTAGAGCGACCTCCTTCGATGAAGAACTCCATGTTGTGACCGAGCGCCAGGGCTTCGACCATGTAGCTCTGCAGGATCGCCCGGTAAATGAGGTCCTTCGGGCCGGCGCCGTCCAGCCTGCGCTTCACGTAGAAAGCACCCAAGCGGGACAGCAGCCAGCTGAAAGCACAAAAGCCGCCCTGAACACGGCAACTATATCATGCATTAGAACAGAAATAATTGCATCTGCACGCCGGTCGATGGCCTTCTCGCAACTCATGGAGCGCCGGAGCCAGCTGTGTGATTTGTTAGGAGACTCCCTACAATCAAACTGCTTGACGTCGTAAGTTGCTTGGTGCATTAGCGAGGAACATTGTTCACATAGATAAGACAGTCATATTAGCCTTATCCCTCGGAAAAACCAGGAATAAGGCCAATACTACTGTCTTATCTTAAACATCATACTTTAAGAAAAAAATTCACTTCCGCTATTGTTTCCATAAAGGCATGTTGTCGAAAATATCAACGTAACTATATCTCCATTCTCCTGGTTTTTGCGAGGAATAAGGCTAATACTACTGTCTTCTCTGCTTGACGTCGTGGAAAACACCTAGCTCCATTTGCGCTGGCACCAGCGCGATTCACCGGGACGAAGGAGTCCCACGCCACTCACATCAGCCGCTGCACAAGCGTGACGTCACACGGGCGCCGCACCGCTGCGTCGCAGCCAGCGCGGCCCGGGGGGGTCGGCGGTGATGGCAACGGCCGCACTCACCCGAACAGCGGTATGCACAGATTGTCGCCGGCCGCCACCAGCGGCGCCTGCACGCCGAAGTTGGTCAGGGCAAAGCTGAGCAGGACGTAGTCCAGGTGGGACTTGTGCAGCGGCAGGAAGACGACAGGCGTGCCGGGGCTGGCCTGCTGCGCACGCCGCACCGCCTCCAGCTGGCCCTTGTGGACCTGCGCCGAGCTGAGCGTGCAGCGCAGCAGGTGGAACAGCGCCCAGGTGGCCACCCTGCCGGCCGAGGACGGCCTGGTCACAGCGTCCGGAGCGGGGACGGCCTGGTCGCAGTGTCCAGGTGGCCGCCCTGTCGGCCGGGGACGGCCTGGTCACAGCGTCCAGAATGGGCCCGACCGGGGACGGCCTGGCCAGAGCGTCCGGAGCGGGAACGGCCTGGTCACAGCGAACAGGACGGGCTCGCCGGCCGGCGGCAGGCACAGCTGTCACACACGGTAACCAGCCCCCATCGCAATGTCGGAAGCGGTGATCCCTGCTTTAAGAGTACATCGACAGACCCGGGCAGGTCAGCCGTACCGAGGTTATGGGAGTTAGACCTGTCATCCAACGTACTGCCTCGATGATAGAAACATTTTGATCCACAAAAGGAGCTTTCAGGCTCTGCAGATCCGAACACCGAATGATTAAACCGTAGCGCGATAAAATCACTATCACGAACTCTGGTCTCTCAACGTCCGTTCTTTTGGCCGAAGCTTGGGAAGTTGGCAGAATTATTACAGCGTAAAATTCCAACCCAGCAAAAGCAAACAGCTCTACGTCCTTCTTTCAAGAACTGCTTTTCGGTGGGCCCAATTATCTCAAGTTCGTTGTCGTTTACCATACTCCCTTTGTGAACGAAAACAACAATTGAGAGACTGTCGGGCAAATGTATCCTTTCCTTTCGCGGATGCATACAATGGCGTTATTGCAATGGAGACACACACGGATGACATGACAGGACTGGGCTCTACAAGAAAGTAGCATTAAAAGGTTGGTGAAAATCTGTTCAAACTTAAAATCATGCCGAAGTGTGCATGGTCTACAAAACACTGTCGCAAGGCTCTTCTCGCCGAACCTGTCAATTGCCTTCTACCGAGCAGTATTGAACTATGCAACCGGTATGCGCACCCTGTGCCGTGCGGCTTTCCATAGGTCTGGTACGTCACCAAATTTCGCAGAGCTGGCTGGCATGTTTCAAAAATCCCTCCCCCCCCCCCCCCCCGGAGCCAAACTTCCACACTAAAGTCACGACGATGATCAAAACTTTGGTCGCAGGTTTCATCTTGGTAGAGCAATGATTCCGCATCAGCCCTACGTTGCAACTAATCCAACATGGCCGGCAGGGGTGGAGCGGGACCAGCACAGGCCCTTGTAGATGTCACTTATGTAGACAATGTAAGGGCAGGAGGCGCACCTCACAGATATGTGAAGCTTTCGTAACTGGTAGCCTGGCCGAACCCGTCACGGCCTACGGCTACCCGTTCGGGACGGTCTGAATCCAAACCCGGGCTAGTGAGCTGAGTCAATGGCGCGCCGAGCGTAAATCGATCCGGCCGCGGCCCAACGGTTCACCATCGACCTCTGGCATCGGTCCCAATAATGGACAAAGACCTCGGGACTGCCTTCCTTACAGGTTTCTAAAACGTGACTTCCCTGCTTGCTACGGTATCACGTGATACCTAACTCACGATCGTCACTTCCGTAAACGGTTCAATGGTCCATTGTGCAGTGAACTACTGCACACCGGCCGTTTGACTGGCTTACTCGTCCAGTCAGAAAACAGTTACCGCGGTTTTTAATTTTTCAATATTCTATTTAGCTGTCTCAAGATTTATATTTCTTCACATACTACTCACCCTCTGGCTTCGCTCCACCGACAGTCAAACTCTTCTCATTGTCGTAAGTTGGCAAAAATAGAGGCAAATTCGGACGACGCCTAACGAAAAAAAGCTCCGCCGCACAAAGCTATCCCGCTGGAAAACGTTGCTCTACCCGCATACTATCAAAACATTGGCCATCTTTGCAGTTCGATGACATGAATGGTAGATTTAGAGTTTCCCGTGTAAAAGCACATGGAGGCACCAATGACCTCAAAAGTAAAAACAGATTTATATTGTGTCGCCTCTATCAGCGCCCTATATGTTTCTGGTTTTCAAGGTTTTCTGGACGACTGGTTTTCGTCGGGCACGTGCGATCCGAAGGCCACTACAGCTGTGAGCGGCGGACAGGCTAAGGGACGCGACGGCCAAACACTTGTTTTTCAATCCAATACACAGACGCGGCATGCTATCCTGATCTGAACTGCATCCAGCAGCATGACGATGCTGGCGCCATGTCCGCTAGCTTTCGGGGCTCTGTTCGCACGACAGTCACAAGACAATTCATAAGACAGTTCTATTAATCCCCCAGTCAGCAGGCAATTAGTGTTGATAACTTCAGCACGAAACAACATCGCTGGAAGCCAGGCATTAAAACGGGAACTTGTGCACAGTCACTCATACATACTCACGCATACGAACACTCCGTAAGTTCTCACTCAGCGGTGAAAGCCGAACCCAGATGCAAAGCACAGCTCGCAGCAGTGCTCGACGCCGCAATAGCCACAGTTCCGATGCACTAGTCGCCTGTACAACACCATGCAGCTAGGGAGAGGTTGGGCCGTACCTGAGGAACGCCGTGCCGATATTGGACTTCATGGCCGACAGCAGGCTCTCAGCGCGGGCGTACAGCAGACGACGCACGTGGTGCTCGGCCTCGGGCACGTCGGCCAAGCCGCGGGCCTCCAGTGTCAGCTCCAGGGTCTGCTCCAGCGCCACCTGCACGGCGTCCGCCTCCAGCACCGCCTGGCGGCCGCAGCCCGAGTCACGGGGAGCCAGTGCCGGGCGTCTGAGGGCCGGCCGCCAAGGACGACCACGCGCCGAGAGCGGGCGGAGGGGGGGGGGGGGGTCCGGCGTGGGAAGACACAGGGCCGCGGAACGCGCCGGGGACGTGGGAAGGGGCGGGAACGGCGTCTCACGGCGACACAGCCGACAGCTGTCCACACCGCCATGCGTCCCAGAGCTCGCGGAGCACGAACAGCTCGATGTGAAGCAAGCGCAGGGAAAGAGCGGCCGTGAGGCGCGACCGAAGCGCCGCTTCGCGTCCGGCTGTACGGCGGCCCGTCCGTAAGTGGCGGTGGCGGCGGCGCTGCTCTTCTCACCCGGCTGCTGACGGGCCGCGGCGGCAGGCGGATGTCGCGCGTCGCCGCGTGGCTCAGGTAGCAGAAGGTGCGCGCCAGAAAGCCGCGGTCCCGGTCCATGGTGCTGACCAGCAGCAGGTTGCGGATGCCCAGCTGCATCACCTGCGGGTCCGTGTGCGCCTTCTGCCGGCAAGCGCGGGAGAACGGTCAGCGGCACCGGGCTAACCGCACGTCACGGCTCGCTGGATCGGCATTTCATTGTCGAGATCACTGGGAAGAATCGACATTGGGCGCAGAGCAGATCTACTCACTGCGCGCACCTGGTCCCACAACCCTTTTTTTTTAGCGCGACCTGCCAGACACAGCAGTCAGCTCTCCACGTCAAGCCCGGCGGAGGAGTGTTGGGGAGAGGGGGCGGGAGGACATTTGCCTCGCCCCCGTCCAGTAGCCAGGTTGCGCAGCGGCCCGCGTGCTGGCGATAGCGTGCGCCGCCGAGTCCGGCCGCGACTTCGGCGCCACGGAGCGCTAGCGCCGAGATCACACGGTTAGCTCTTTCCCGCCAGCGCCCCGAGTGCCAATGTTAACTTGTTAAAAAGGTGGAGCCCAGCCCCTCCCCTCGGTTCCCGCATGACAGCCTGTCGCGTGCTGCGGCCGTTAGCGCTGCAGGCTAGACTGGAGCAGCCAGCACCGGAGCCGGTGCCGCCGTCGAGCAGGCCGTCCAACCAACCTACCTTGGAGTGGGGCGTGCAGCGGGCGCAGCAGCCGCCCATGTACGGGCGGTCCTCGCCGCCCAGCGCGCCCGGCTCCACCATCGGGGTCACCTTGAAGGGGGCCAGGCTGGCGCCGCTCCTCACCTGCGGCGGTGCCGGCACGGTAAGGTCAGGTCAGGTCAGGTCAGATCAGATAGCTGGGACCGATGCAGCCACGAAGACGTTAGCCCTGGTAACTCTCCCTGTGGACTGGCATCATCAGAAGACTCTGAGACCACCAGGTATGAAATCATGTATCCAAGGAGGTGTGTGGAGCCACTGATGGTGGACCTCCTACCCTGGAGCTGGGGGGCATGTAATGGCATTTGATGACAAGTTCCCACATCAAGAGAGGACAGGAGGACAAGGGAAGAGGGCAGTGACGAAGTCAATACCCAGAGGATGACAGAAACTTGACTAATCCTTACCCAGGAGGGGGCAACAGGGCACGTGCTACGGATGCCACCTTTCTTGGGCCTCGCCAGCGGTGGTCGTGGTGCCGGCACTGTGCCCTGCTGCTGGCCTCCAAACAGTGTCATCTGTGAGTTGACTGGTGATGATTGCCCAGCATGCAGTTAGTGATGATAGCAGAGCATCCAGCCAGCACCTGCACAGCACAGAGTCCAAGCATTCAATGGTGCGGAGGAGCAGTGTGCAGACCTATTCACAACACTGGGGAATACTCATTTCCATTCAACACCTGTTAGTGCACTCAGACATCCTGGGTTGAGTATGTGCCATGCCAAATGATACTGCCACTGGGCATCACATAGCCAGTGGTAATGCTTAATACTTTATAACATTGGTTGAGACATCAGTAATGCAGGGGGGGGGGGGGGGGGCATAAAAGTGGCACAGTTTGAACCTTGACTTGTGATGTCAATCATAATTCTAATTACTCATTTTTAAAATGTAATTCTAGAACCCAAGCACATTTCTGCTATCAAGTTTTCCTGGTCTAAGGCAACCATATTGTACACAATACAGAATAAGAATAAGCTTGTCACATCATTTTCCTACACCTGCAAACAACTCAAGTGACAATAACTCAGCATATGTTCTGTCAAGAGCTCAAATTGAGAAGCCTGCCATTCAAGTACTGCTTGTGGGCAATGTCAACAGGTTTGGGGAAAAAGCATGACAAGCAATCTGTGAAAATCAGAAGGTCAGAAACTTACTGAAAAGAAAATGTTGATATCGTTAGATGGTTGGTTGTTCAAAGGCCAGATAAATGCAGCTGCCAGCATTCACAGGAATTTGAAATGAGGCCCACCAAAATTCAGCACATTTTGGTGGATGACCTAGGACCTGTAGCCAGCAACCCAAATATACAGCACTTTGTGACAGAATCATAACTAAGCAAGAATGAACAGGCATAAAATATTCAACTAGATTGTGCAGCCTGAGAAATATGTGCCAGATTTATCAGACAAAATTTGTTAAAGCCTGACTTTCCCCCAGCATAATCATCAGCCAAAACAGCTGCTTCTAGGTAAACAAGCCCCTCAGGATCATGTTGTCCATAAACCCTGGCTGTGAGGCAAGGTAGCAGGTACCCTGTGTGGGTTGCCATAAGTTTATAGCACACAAATATGTGCAGTTGCACATCCAGTGTCAAATTAATTGGATAATTTGCTTTGACAATACAAATGGGAAGAGAGTGATTGCAAACCAAGAAAACCACCATGACATACAGTTTATCCATGACCTATAGTTCATCAAGTTTATAGCACATAACTATGTGCAACTAGGTATCCAGTGTCCATTAATTGAACACACTGGTTTGACAATGCAGGTGGGAAGCGAGTGATGGCAGTACAGGAAAACTACCATGATGCCATGTTCACCATTTCCCTTGCAGCTCCAGATTTCATCACACACCTTCAATGGTTTCAACAAAATGGAATCTCTTCTCATATGGTGCTAGAGGCTTAACGACTGCTGCTCAAGACAATTGTTAAGAGAAGATATAATCACCCTTGAGACACATTACTGAGCATATGTTGGCTCCACATACTCAGGCTGAAACCAATGCACTTTGGTATTGCCTCATTAAGCTTTATACATGACCATACACATAAAAATAAATAGTCTTGCATAGTGCCACTCAATGCAGGTATCCAGGACTTTTGTGGATTGGTACAGTTATATACAGAATATTCATAAGAAGTACAAAATCCACTTTTTATACAAATTTGACAGAAAAAATTATCCTAAGAACCCAAGTTTCCCTGGTGCATTGCATATTTGGAAATCATTGGTAATGTTCCAAACCTCTCGCATCAACCATACTCAGAGCACAGTTGGCCATATTGTTAAATATTAGGTGTTAGGCATCAATTCCCAAGCCCCATCTTCATGAAATCTGGTTGAATTTGGCTCAAGCTGGATAATGAAAATATAGATGGAAAATAGAATGGAAAACAGTTTAGTATTGCTGTGCAATTTGTGCAATTTGCACACATACCAAAACTGCTCAAATACCTGAGATACACAATGATATGCATTTCACTGGGATAGATTGCATTTCTGCAGGCATGACTGAACCATGCTTGACACTGATAGGCCAGGCACCAACTGAGGAGCTATTCTGAGACTTGACACTGCCTTCATCACTGGCATAATTTGCCATGCTAATAGAATAGAAGCTAGAAACATAATTCAACTTATCAGATTGATATTTTGGAATACAAAGGATCACTAACCAGGGGCAGCATTTCACAGAATCTTATTCTAGCTGTTATGATCATGGTCTAGTATGCAAGCCATGACAAGGACATTGACAGATGGTTGCAACAGCCTAAGCCCACAAAAGGATAGCAAGCTACCTAACTTCTTGCAAGATCTTTGGCTGAACTAAGCTCTGCCCAAAGCATGCTCTCAGACTTAAGCCATTTGGGTATTATGACAGCATGAGTCACCCCAGGGTGCCCAATATCCAGCCTGCAAAAAACCATTCACTGCAACAGACTTCTTCTAATTTTTGCTGTCTAGCCCATGGCTGGCCATCAAGCTTAAAGAAATTGTTCCAACTTATCAGACACCTGACCCAAACTTCACTTTTGTTGTTGAACTTTCCAAGACATATTAAAATCAGCCATGCCTTGCTGAGCAGACCTTGGTCACCAGTGCAACTACTCATTGATTATCTATTTGCCGGTGTTTGGATATGCCCCTGGTCCCAAAAAGGCAACTCATGCATCAATATTCACAATACTCAACACTCAACAAGTGGTAATGGGCGAGCACTCATCTTACTCTGGACAGAACCCCACACTCACTAATGAAATGTGACTTCCTCGTACTGTAAAGACATACAGTAAGGACAGTGCGGAAACTCAGAGGAATGAATGCTCTCATACCTGTGTCGATAAAATGCTTTACGCTTCTGAAAATCGACTACATACGATGATACACAACCATCCTCGCCTTAACCGCTATAACCCTGTGCGCCGGCACGGTTCCAAGGACTGAGGTAGAAAAGCTGCAAAGAAACATTGCACTTCCCAGTCAGCTGGCTTAGTAGGAAGCATATCTGGTAGATATTCAAGGCAATGTAATAAGCTAGTGACAAATGGAAAAGAAATGGCACCACTAAAGCATAAAAACCTGATTAAGCACATGCGTTTAGACGCTCGTACATCCAATGTTTTCACGTTTATGGCATTAGCAGCTTATTCAACTACATCCCTAGTAATGACAGAGACATAGTTTTGCATTCAGTTGGGTTAGCACTCTTATTGGCTTTAGCTTGGCTTTCTTATTCAGAATCATAAATGAAGATGTAGAGGTAAGCAACTATCTGTTTACTTTAAGTGGAAAAGATTGGCCTAGAAAACGCATTTTCCTATTGAGCAAAATTACTCCTTGATACGACACTGCTCGATTCGACATGGAACGTTTTTATGACGTTGAGGTGCTACGAAACTGACCGCGCGAAATTGCTACCATGGCACTCACTTGTAGTACTTAGCTTGCCGGGAGATAACAGTGGAGATGCTGAGCAAAATATCGTTATGTGCTCGTGTTTTGTCCCTTTCTTGTGGTGTGCTTGCATTTTCATCCGGGAGTTTAGAATGTGTAAACATCTTAGAAATTGTATTTCCAGCTCGGTCATGGTCCTACTCTTAACTTGTTAGATCATATGTCGTATTTGCATAACAACTAGAAAACATAAACTTCTCATGTTAAGTAGCGCAAAACGTGACTTGTGATCGAACCTTGCACCACTTTTTCAGAAATTTTTATTTACAGGGACATCAGCAATCACTAAACAATACACACACACAGTGGTCACACATCACGTGAGCTGGGCAGCCACCTACAAGGGTCGGCACCGGCCACCGTGTGGGGGTCGACACGGTGCGCACTGGGGCGACAACAGGCCCCTCCCACCCCGCCGTGGCTGGTGTGTGTTCATATGAGTAAGCTTGAGCGTGCTTGTGAGAGAGAAGTGGAAAAGCATGTGAACAGGAGCAGGTGTGTGTGCGTGCATGCGCGAGTGCGTGCGTGCATGCGTGTGTGTATGTGCGTAGGAGAGGGGGATGTGAACTCGCGTACACATCATGCAGTGGTGGACGGTTCTCGCTTGGTTAATATCTGTCGGTTGGAATGCACTGTTTGTCAATCTGCCATCACGCGAATATTTTTTCAGCTGTCCCCCACTTCTTTTCATATGAGTGTTGCGTATGAACTAGTTTTATAGCAAGATATTTAATTATGGTTCCAAGTGATAGTATCTTTTTCACGTGAGTAACTGCAGGTTGCGTTTCTCCATGATGTGGCTCGTATGTGGACGATTGTCATGATGCCCACATGGGGGTGGTCGTGGTCTGCATATGGATATCAAATGAGCTCGCTATCTCTAAACCACTTGGCGTTCACGATGTCCGTGGAGTTAGCGACTTATTCAGTGATTTGAAAATGACCTATATTTTGCAGAATCATGTGATCTTCCAGGTCAAAAGCTGGATCAAAGAACGGGGAACTCAATATCACTCAACAACTACTGCCCGATTCGAAAATTGCAAGCATCAAAACATTCACAAGCGCAAAAGATAGCGTCCGTCAAAATGCTATGATCTTTTAAGATAACCTTTCAAGGTTAATCGCGGGCTCGAAGGACGAAGACCTCAATATCATCCAAAAGCTACTTGCAGATTTTAAACATACAAATGTCAGAATATTCACCACAGAAAGAACTAGCGTCCGTCAAAAAGTTCTGACCTCTCAAGGTCAGCCTTCAAGGTCAAACGTGGGCTCAAAGAACG